TTTTTATTAAATCAAGGCCTTGAAAATCACAATAAGTCATATCAGGGATTCTGTTTTATTTCGATTTATCATGCAACCCTAATAGTAGTACCATAGTGTTCTTTGAAATACTTTGAATTATCTTGTAAATACCATGATCTATAAATACAGCAGTCATTCAGTATCTGTATTTGGTAAATAGCAAAGTATCATGGTATTACCATTTGATACCATCACAGTACTTTTTTATAAAGTTAATATACAAAAGAAAGGTCCGAGCTGGTAGCCTAAGATGTAAACATCACTTCATTGGCATACTGTACTTTTCTGGAAATGGCATTATAATTGCATTTGAGTTCATCCCGGACACTGAATTTGAGTGTTACATTTCAGTAAACCTTTTTTCTCAGCAGTCTCCAGTTACCGGCACATGAACGGCCATGGAAGATGGACTACACATCCAGTCTGAAGAGTTTCCCATGTCAATATGCGATACAGAACCACGCTAAAGGTTGTCAAACAATACTTGCATCAACAAAACATTACTTTTTTTGGTTCAGTCTGCTTTTATACAGAGTGATTAAATAAATTATATTGGTCAAGCTTTTTCAGCATGCTCTTGATTACCACAGACAATTTCAACTTTTAATTCTATTTACAGTAATGCACTTATTGATTGGGCCAAGGGAATTGCACATTTGCTTATTTCTCTCTCTCTCTCTCTCTCTCTCTATAATAATATATATACAGTATATACACGTAATATATAATTTAGGGTCGGTCATTTTTTCTTTTTTGGAGAAAGATGTTGATTAGTTTCAGTAAGGATGCATTCAGTTGATCAAAAGTGGCAATAAAGACAATTACTATTGTTACAAAAGTTTCCAATTTCAAGTAAAATCTGTTCTTTCAAACTCTATTCATCAGAATCCTGAAAAGGTATCACAGTTTCCATAATAATATGAAGCAACACAACTGTTTCAGCATTGATAATAAGAAATGTTTATTGAGCAGCAAATGATGCTGTAAATTCTGCTTTGCATCACAGGAATAAATTACATTTTAATATATATTAAAGAGAATAGTTATTTTACATCATAATAATATTTCACAATATTACTGTTTTACTTGATCAGATAAATGCAGATTTGGTAAAAATAAGAGACCTAAGTATTTCGAAAACATTACCAAGCCCAATTTTCCAGAATGCGTTAATAAACTTCCATTATAAGTGCATTCTATAAACATGATGCCTGTTTTTAGTCCAGCTCGAGTCCAACTCATTTTCTGTGATAATCAACAGCATGTCACAGATGCAGTGGACAGAGCTTGTTTTGAATCTGAAACATTCTTTAAACTTAGCCATAGATACAAGTATCACAAGAGAGTCATATATCGGTTCATCCCATCATATAAACATGAAGCATGTAATAGGTGGCTGGGCTGAGGGTTCACCCACCCACCTAAATCTCATAACCAGAATCGCCATAGGCACTAATGTTTAAATGACTTCTCTCCTTTCCTTTCTGTCTCTCTGTCTTCTGGGGTTTGTTATTCAGGGACAGAAAGTGGTAATGGGATTGAGATGGGGGACAGAAAGAGAAGGAGTGCAGGGACGGGGGCGGCGGGGCATGGTTTCAATTATACTCATTTAATTACTCACACGCATGTGGTTGAGAGCCACTAACCCCACACACTCTTCACCCCCTCCCTATCTACCCCGAATCGCCCCCTCTTTACCCACAACAAACCATTATGCCTCCCCCCTTTCTAGGTCTGTTATTACGCCAAGAAATGGTGTAATATCAATGAGCCCTCCCCCTAAGCCATTTCCTGCGCTCCAAAGAACTAATGGAGTTGGGCATTGTAATTAGATAATCTAAATATAAGTCCTGAGCCTCATTAATATGCATTAATGGAAAGGCCATAGGGATATCTGGGAACATGGTTACAGAATTAGAATATTATTAAACGTTGTACAAGCACGAAGACACTGGGTTTTGCACAAGTTTACTTTAGTGTGTTTGCAGTGGCATACTAGCATGCTCCTTACTGCATACTGTGCTCATATAAGTATACAGTACAATAAAGGATTCAAATAGTATGCTAAATGTCACATGACCACCCTACTACTTTGCATGTTTAATTCAGCGAATAATCAGGTTTTTTTTTGTCATTTTAAATTGTATTTTATATATTTATACTATTATATATATATATATATATATATATATATATATGTGCATTTAATGTAAACAATGCGATATTTGCAAATTCATAAATTGGAACTGGAAAGTCAAATTGGGAAATTTTGGAAAGAATGTAGGTAA